TTCTGGAACAGGTTAACACTGCATGTAAAGCAGGCATCTCTGCTATCTTCTTCTCCCACACTGTTTACATTTGATCACTGCTGCACTTAAGAAATGGAAATGTCATGAAAGCTGTACAAAACCAAATACACATACACAGATATGCATACAAAATGACAATAAAAGTTGTCTGTCTTCTTTTAAATAATTTTTAAAAGATTCACCTTTTCCTTTGGCTCACAATACAATTTGAGTTGTTTGTTTCTTTTCCCCTCATGAGTCAGCTGTGTACTTTGTTTTTGTGTCTGGTTCAATTTCTTTTATTGATTTGTAGATATCATTTCTACTTTCACTGCTTGGTATAATTGACTGTGCCAAAGTGGATGTGTCATTCCAAATTGTGTGATTTTATCAGCTACACAATTTTATGCTATCCACATGCTCGTGTTTGTTTACACATTAGTATTTATGGCACACTAGCTTGGCTTAAATAGAAAGTAAAAGTACCGTAAGCGATTTATTTTCTGTTTGACCTTAACCAGATAAAACCAACATTACAAGAACAACCTTACTTTTGGTGGTTTTGACATTATACGACACGTATATTTATGAAACTGTCATTGCCTTCCTAAAATATTTATAGCTCTTTTGTGTCTTTACAAATGTGTTTTGGAGGTTTTATTTTGTAAAACTACTGTGAACTGCTTTGTAAAATACAACATCATGTTGTGTGATTTTAAAGAGGCTAGCTGACCAGGGAGGATGAGATGATAGATGGAGGAAACACATACAGAGCTACAATGGTTTTGGATTCTTTTGAGTTAGAATGACTTATTAAATGTTCAGATCTAAACCCAACTGAGAATCTGAGGCAAGAATTGAAAAAACAATGGCCACAAGCATTTTACATCTAACCAGGTTGCTTTCTAAGTTATGACTTAAGACTCTTGTCTTAAAAGTGACAATGTAATCTATATAACCTTGAATTTTATGCAGTGCATTAGAGGAAAAACAATACAATTTAAGCTATAAATCGATAGTTGTATTTACTTTAGTACTCTGCATCATAAATAGAAAATAGTCAGTGGCAACTGTTAAAGGTTTAAAAGGTATTTATTTTGGCCAAACTTTTTCAAATCCAAAACTCTGTTTACTGAAGTGAATCTTCTCTGGGGAAATTCACATTTACTTTTCTAAAAGCAATAGTCTGCTACGACAATGAGCTTTATATTTTTTTCTGTTCTAGACTGAATATAATATTTTCCAACTCTTCAGTTTTCATTTCATAGTTCATGATTTTTGCAGCCTATGGCAGGTTGTGGATGAATATGTATGTATTCTAATTATGTTTTAGAAGTTCAAAATGACTATAAAGCTGGCTTAGTCATCATGCTTTAAGGATGCTTTTCATCGACATAGGTTTGGATTCTAGTCAAACCTTCATCTCTATGTTTATACTATAAAACTCCAAAGAGCGGTGGGAATGTCGACAGTTCAATGTAAAAAGCATTTGTATTTTTAAAACATCCAATAGATGATTCAGATTTATTGCACTGTTTTTGCTCCCCTGGAAAAAAAAAACTCAATCTTTAGATTAAGTTAAATATTTATTTTCTTCAACAGGCACAATGGGTGACTTGTTTTACTTATGGATGTGTATGCATGATTTTCTTTTCCTGTAGTTGAGGTAGAAGCTTAGCCATCATCTCATCATACTGGTCCATCACAATTGCTATTCTGAATCTTTCAAAAATCTTGATTTAGATAAAAATGTATTGAAATAAATAGATTAATATCAAAGAGTCTTTGTTCATCACCAAGCACTGTAAATGCCAAAAGAGGTACCTTATTTTTATGTGCTTCATCTGCAGCTTGAATAATTGCTTAAATTTACCATATAAAACCATTAGTTAGTATGACAGGGAAAAAGAAAATAAATAAAAAGGTGTGCACAGACAAAATAAAAATACAAAAACACCAAATATGAGGTTTTAAATTAAAGTCCCCACAAAAGGTTAACCAAAAACACTTCTAGTTCCAAATTCTTGATTTAATTTTCTCCAAACGCTTTTCAATTGCTTCAACTGTATTTCGCTCTTCTTTCTGAAGCAGACCACTTATTATTTTTCAACCAAAGCTTTTACAGTATTAGATCCTTCCGGCGGTGAGAAACATTTATACTTACTTGGCTTCTGATCATTTCCTCCATTATTATCTGAAGATTGTTCATTTTTCTGTCCTTATATGTACAAAAAGAAAGACCCATGTAAGTATTGCATAATGAAAGTATGACTACAATTCCAAATGAATATATGATTTGGTTTAGTGAAAAATAGTCTGCAGGTACTTACCATGGCTTTCTTTATTAAATGTCCCCATTGTAAAACAAACACAACATAGATAGGGCCATGAAAAGGGATTGAATGAATTTGGAAAAAGCCTTTGCTGTGCATTCAGATGTCATATTTCTAAATGGATTTCCGTGGCACATGAAAAACAAAGAAAAATTCGAAAAACAGTTTTTAGATCTTCAAAAATAGGGTTCAATTATTTGGCATTACAACTTTTTGATAAAGAATACAGAATGTAATGGAATGTAATGTAATGGAAAATAAGTCATTTGACAGATGGGGTGATACAGTACAAATTGTTGAAATATTTGTTTCACTTCACTAACTTTGTGTTACCAACCCTTCTACTTTCAATGTTAAAGAAACATAATCACATTATGTCTGCCTATTCATCATCTTTTCTTTTTCCTCCTATTTTATATAATACAATATTGCAGTTATATTAACATTTAGTTCAAGCAAACACAGTCCATTTTGATTAAAAGCCTAATCTATTTAAAAAAAAAATATATAGGCAATTTGTAAAGGAGGTTAGCGATCTGAGAAAATCGGAAGGTTGTGTTTCACCCTTATTTCAAATATATGTTTCTGACAAAGCTACCCAAAGAAAATTCGGGGAAAAAAAAAAACATAAACTACAACTAAATGTAGAAGCTGCTGTTAGTGAGACACAAGTAATTTTAAGATTTAGGGTTAACTGTGAAAAAAGCAGACAGTTGGGTGCAACCGTCTGTTTGTGTCTAATTTAAGCCTGCTTTGTGGGTGGCATGACCAGGATGACTGGAAATTTACACGTTCTTAGTCTAGTTTATTCAAAACTACATGTCAAAATTACAGAGAAAAGAAGGTTTTAGTGTGTGTTGTTTGAGTTTAAGTTAGGTATGAAATTCACTATAGTTCTTTTCAAATAACTTTTTATGAAAAGTGAAAAGATTATCAGTCATTTTTCCCCCCTGCTCCAAATAAATGACTTTACAGCCAGTTTAAGCTTTCCTGTATTCTTTCTTGATAACACTAAGGGGCAGTGTTGCATTAACTTACAGTGTGGTAAAAGCATATTACCAGTGGTGGACATCAAACATACTTATAGGTTATCAAATAATGAAGACAGCACTAAAAAATATGTATGCATGTTATTTCGCCTCTTATGTATCTTCCCAGTTAATCATATTTTATTTTTTGTGACCTGTGCTCTTGATATTTTGACTTTTTGCAGCTACTAACCTTTGTGGCTTTTGGTAATAAATTGTGTAATCTTTAAAATTATCAATATCAGTTTATACTCACTTTATGACCAATTCATACCTACATTGTCAATCAATGATTTAAACATATTTTTTCTATATTCTAATATTTGGGTACTAAAAATATTGTAATCACATTCATCCCAAACTATGTTTTTAAAAATAAAGACTCCACAAAAGACCAGAATTGGTTTGATTGTTTCACATTTTGTAAGCAACCTCAAGCTAAAAGAGGGATCAGTAGAGAAATTCAGAAGAATAGTGTGCAGCTATTGTCTACCCCCTTTGGGAGACATTAAAGACTATAAAGCTATGATCCCGAATAAACAGCACACTATGATATAGTACATAACTATCCTCTCTCTTTTCCTCTCTCTCTCTCTTTCGCTCTGTTTCCTCCCCTATATATATA